GGTGGGGGGGTGGGTGACTAGGGGCTTGGGGACCCCTTGTCACCTTCTGGGGGGGGATTTGACTTAGGGCCCCCACCCACCGCCCAGGGGTTGGGGGCCGGGGGGAGGACAGTAGGTCCCCCCCCATTATCTTTATGGCCCCCACCTGCCGCCCAGGGGTGGGGGCCGGAGGGGGGTATTGGACAGTAGGTCCCCCCCCTCATTATAATTTGGCCCCCACCCGCCGCCCAGTGGGGGCCAGAGGGGACAACAGTAGGTGTCCCCATCCTCATTATCTCTATGGACCCCACCCGCCGCCCAGGGGTGGGGGCCGGGGGGAGGACAGTAGGTCCCCCCCCTCATTATCTCTATGGCCCCCACCCGCCGCCCAGGGGTGGGGGCCGGGGGGGAGGACAGTAGGTCCCCCCCTCATTATCATTATGGCCCCCACCCCTGGGCAGTGGGTGGGGGCCGGGGGGGGGACTTTAAGTCTCCCCCCTTATTTTACTTTAGGGCCCCCACCCGTCATTTAGGGGTGGGGGCCAATATTTATTTATTTTTTACTGTGGCTGTCTCACTGTTTAGCAGACATGCCCCTACTCGCGGTATAGCGAGTAGGGGCATATTATTTACTAATACTAAGTAATTTTTACTTGGTATTAGTAAATGTGGCTGAAAGACCAATTTAGTTCTTTCAGCCTTTTAGTAGATAGCTCCCTAATACCGTGAGAATTAGGGAGTTATCTACTAAGCGGCTGCAAGATGCAGCCACAGCAAGAATAGGATCAGAGTTTCATTCATTCGATTGAAATTCCGATCAGAATAAAGTGCCAAATTGCGTTCTAAAACAAACAAACATACTGTTCTCATTCAGTTAGAACGCAATTCGGCAGTTTAGTGTAAAATGACAGGAAGCATCACGGGAACACAGAGGAAAGCTAAGGATCATGGGAAAATTGCTCTGACTAGCGGAAATGAAGCACACTTTGCTCCTCCGCTGGTCAGAGCTGGTCAAGCGGAGGAATCCTCCATAAGGCAAAGAGTCCCTACTTTGTCTTATGATTTTAAAGAAAACTAAAGAAGATAGAAAGAAAAGAATAACAGATCCTGAGAGAGGGTGAGAAGAGGAAGAGATTGAGGAAAGGTAAGTTCGGCATGACAGTGCCGCATTAAGCCCTCTTTCAGGAACAAAATTTGCCTGTGTGAATTCACCTGCTTGAATTCGCTGAAAAATTTAGAATGTTGCCCCAAATGTAATGCACAAAAATTTGGAAACTTTATTTTTGAAAAAAGGTGCACATTGGATTCAAGCAAACACAGTAAATAGGTAAAATGTGTATTACATTACACAACTGAACACAAACATTACATATATGTGTTGCTTTAAAGGGATACTATAGCTATCAATACATCCTTGGCTTAAAGGACCACTATAGTGCCAGGAAAACATACTCGTTTTCCTGGCACTATAGTGCCCTGAGGGTGCCCCCACCCTCAGGGACCCCCTCCCGCCCGGCTCTGGAAGGGGAAAGGGGTTTAAACTTACCTTTTTCCAGCGCTGGGCGGAGAGCTCTCCTCCTTCTCTCCTCCTCCGATCTTCCTCCTGGGCTGAATGCGCACGCGCGGCAAGAGCTGCGCGCGCATTCAGCCCGTCGCATAGGAAAGCATTTACAATGCTTTCCTATGGACGCTTGCGTGCTCTCACTGTGAGTTTCACAGTGAAAAGCACGCAAGCGCCTCTAGCGGCTGTCAATGAGACAGCTGCTAGAGGCTTTGGGGGAAGGCTTAACCCATTGATAAACATAGCAGTTTCTTTGAAACTGCTATGTTTATAAAAAAAATGGGTTAACCCTAGAAGGACCAGGCACCCAGACCACTTCATTAAGCTGAAGTGGTCTGGGTGCCTAGAGTGGTCCTTTAATGAAACAATTTTAGTATATAGATTAAGGGTGCCCAACAGTGGCATACATACCAGGGTCGCAGGGGTCGCGGCTGCGACCGGGCCCTGCCCACCAGGGGGCCCGGCCGCCCCTGCAACCCGGTATGTACCCACAGGGCCAGCCTCTTCTCCTGGGGGGCCCAGGAGCCGGCCACCCCAGGTCCCACCGAGGCTGGCCCTGCTGACACCCGGCGAGCGGGCTGTCTGGGTGGCCGGCGCGCGAGGGAGCACTTTCCCCTGAGTGCTTCCTCTTCCGCAAGGGAGCGCATCGCAAGGGAGCACGAGGGAGCGGATGAGGAAGCACTCAGGGGAAAGTGCTCCCTCGCGCGCCGGCCACCCAGACAGCCCGCTCGCCCGCCCAGCAGCACCACCACTGGACCCCAGGGAATCCCCCCAGCACTCCAAAAGGTAAGGAGGCTGGGGGGATTCAATTTAAAAAAAAACATGTGTTAGTGTGTCTTAGTGTGTGTCTTAGTGTGTGTGTGTGTGTGTGTTAGTGTGTGTGTGTTAGTGTGTGTGTGTGTTAGTGTGTGTGTGTTAGTGTGGGTGTTAGTGTTAGTATTAGTGTGTGTGTTAGTGTGTGTGTGTGTGTGTTAGTGTTAGTGTGTGTTAGTGTGTGTGTGTGTGTTAGTGTGTGTGTTAGTGTGTGTGTGTGTGTGTTAGTGTGTGTGTTAGTGTTAGTGTGTGTTAGTGTTAGTGTGTGTGTGTTAGTGTGTGTTAGAGTGTATGTGTGTAAGTGTTAGTGTGGGTGTTAGTGTGTCTGTTATTGGGTGTTTCTGCTATTGGGTGTGTCTGTTACTGAGTGTGTCTGTTACTGAGTGTGTCTGATGTCTGTTAGTGTGTTTGTCAGTGAAAGTGTATGTTTTGGAAGTGAGTGTGTATGTATGTCTGTCGCTGAGTGTGTCTCTGTCAGTAAATGTGTGTGTCTGTTAGCTAGTGTGTATGCGTCTGTTGGTGAGAGTGTGTGTATTCAGCATTTACCTTTCTCCAGCGCCAGACTTCCTTGGCGCTGGGGATCCCTCAATGCTCAATTACTCAATGCTTTCCTATGGACGTTCAGTGTCTTCTCACTGTGATTTTCACAGTGAGAATCGCGGAATCTCCTCTAGCGGCTGTCAATGAGACAGCCACCAGAGGCTTGATTAACCCTCAGTGAAACATAGCCGTTTCTCTGAAACAGCTATGTTTTCAGCTGCAGGGTTAAAACTAGAGGGACCTGGCACCCAGACCACTTCATTGAGCTGATGTGATCTGGGTGTCTGTAGTGGTTCTTTAGGTGTGTGTGCAGCACACCGCGGTCGCAGGGTCGCAGCCCTGCGACCAGGTGCCCGCCGCCATGTTTTGCGGCCCCAACCCGCGCCGAGTAAGCGCGGGGGGGGTCCCACAGATCAATTTTTGCACTGGGGCCCCATGGGTCATGTGTATGCCACTGGTGCCCAAATAGTAGATCCCTAGATGTTTTAAAACTACAACTTCTACGATGCTTTGCATGTCTTTAGAATGCTTTTAGAATGACAAAGCATCATGGAAGCTGTAGTTTTAAAACATCTGGGAATCTACCTTTTTGGGCACCCCTGGTATAGTTCATGCCCTTGCAGTCTCACAGATTAATTCTGTGACATTTAGGAATTAAAACACTTTTGTTTCTATTTAAGCAATCCTAGCCATTCTTCTCAGGTTGTGACTCACACAGCCTGCATTAACAAAACTGTTTCATTTTCAATCAGATGTTAACTTACTTTATAAGTTTTTTTCCTCCTGCTCTGTAAACTTTAATCCCATACAGGAGGCTCCCTCCGGCTTGACAAAACTACTGAGAGATCAAGATATAAATTTGAAACTAAACATAATGTGCAGGAAGTTTAAACATTAGATCTCTCTTTAAAGGACGTGTTTAAGAAGTCTGTGTATATCACATGCAGGGAGGTGTTTCTAGAGCTGCATAAACAAAATGATTTAACTCCTAAATGGCAGATAATTGATCAGTGAGACTGAAGGGGCATGATACATACACCAAAACTGCTTTATTAAGCTAAAGTTGTTTTGGTGCCTATAGTGTCCCTTTAAAGTGCCCCTGTAGTGGTTATTGGTTAGTATTAGAGTACTGGAGGGGTAAATGTTTAGTGATAAACAAGTGAAGAGGTTTATAGTAAATGATAGTGCAGTGTGTAAGTGTAATGTAGGAGTTAATGTGTTGCATAGTATTGAGTAATGTAATGGTTAATGTAACGGTTAATGTGTTCATATCCCAATGTTGCTTGAGAAAAATAGGGGAATTACAGTTATGAATGTCAGCTATTTCTGATGTCATCATTAAAAAATTTTTTAAATAGTATATATGCTGGGTGCTTAAATAGTCACAGCCAAAAAAATAAAAAAATAGAAAAGAGGGGACTAGCACTCTATGGTGAAACATCGATTTTATGGAATAAGTCCCAATAAAGATTTTGTTTTTTACTACAAGACCGTGAGTGCTAGCCCCTTCTTTTCTATTTATATATAGGTAGCACAACAATGGGTAGCCCCTCCCTATCCCTAATTAGCCAGGAACCTAAATAAAACAGAAGGTATAAGTAACCCCTCCTACTCCTCCCACCCTCAGTCTCTTATTTCCAGCAATTTCCGTGGGCAGGATCTTTGTGCTGCCATGGCCTATGACCAGGAAAAGAAAATTACGGTAAGTAGGAATACATTTTCCTTTTTCCTGGCCATATCCATGGCAGCACAACATTGGGTAATACCCAAGCAATAACCAAGGGAGGGAAAGAAATACATAAGATTTCCAAATTATGAATGCAAAGTGAAAACATACACACCTCACAAGGACATTGGGAATTAAAAACTGATTGTCCACTATTTCAACATTACCAGTTTGATCTACTCAAATGTAAATGTCTGAAAAAAAGTATTGATTGAGGACTGAGGACTTTAACCTATATGTATTTTTGAAGTCTGAGATTTGTAAATTATCTGGTAAGCAAAGCCACTGCCGCAGAGACATACTAGGGATGACAGATGGATTACTGTAGGATCTGGTAGACATAGAGTTGTGGATAAAAGGCATATTGCACAGTCTGTTGCTCTACATAATAAATTTTCTGCACTTTCAGAGTGTAATGGTGTTATGGAGACAGGCTCAGGCACTGAGGGTAGTGGTGTTGTGGAGACAGGCTCAGGCACTGAGGGTAGTGGTGTTGTGGAGACAGGCTCAGGCATCAAGTGTAGTGGTGTTGTGGAGACAGGCTCAGGCACCAAGTGTAGTGGTGTTGTGGAGACAGGCTTGGAGACTATGGTGAGGCCTAATAAAAAACAGTTGTTGTTGGGGGATTCTATCATAAGAGGTGTGGAGATGGACAATGGTGGTCTTGTGAAATGTCTTCCCGGAGCTACTGCTCACAGAAACAGGAGATGTATTTGTAATATTGTTAAGCGAGCAAAGCAGGAAGGGGAATTAGATGTACTTGTCCATCTAGGGACAAATGCCTTGGCTTGCAATGAGGTTTCAGAGGTTAAGGAAGTTTTTAGTGTTTTTGCCTAAGATATATGGCAGGTTGCTTCCACACTGTCATTCTCTGAAATTCTGCCTGCGCATTACACTCAGAACGACAGGCGGATGCGTATTAGGGACTTTAACTTGTGGCTTGGTGAATGGTGTCGGGAGCAAGGATTTTATTTTATTTTTCATGGTAGTTCTGTTTGGAATGGAAATAAACTCTACAAAAAAGATGGTTTGCATCTTTCTCAGAGGTTTTGCTAGGATGTATTTAAAATAGGGGTGATAAAATATCAATCCAATTGCCCCCCAAAACAAGGACAGAAGGTACCTGCAGCAAGTTTGTTAAAAAATTATAAGCTTAGAGTCATGTCTACTTGTGGCAATAATGGCAACTGATAATGTAGATTTAGTCACTGTTACTGACACATGGTATAATGAGAAAAACTACTGGGACATAAAAATACTAGGGTACTCTTTATATAGAAAAGACAGGGAAGGCAAGAACGGGGGAGGGGTGGCCCTGTATGTGAAGGATAGCAATAAAATCTAACCTAATAAAAGTTAGTGAGATGAACATAGAGTCCGTTTGGGTTACGTTAGAATTTGGTAATCACACAGTAACTTGTGTAGGTGGGTTTATAGGGCCCAAGGACAAATAGAAGAGTTAGATAATCTACTAGTTGAGGAAATAGCTAAAATGACAATGAAGGGGGAAGTTATCGTCATGGGTGACTTCAATCTACCTTATGTGAACTGGAAAACCAAAATAGCTGCTTGTGCCAGGAGCACACATATTCTAAACTCCCTACTGGGATTGTCTCTAAAACAAGTCATTGAGGAGCCAACTCGCAAAGAGGCCATACTAGATTTAGTGTTAACAAATGGAGATTTGGTATCAGATATTACTGTAGGTGAAAGTTTAGGATCCAGTGGTCATCAGTCAGTGTGGTTTAATATAAAAACAGTGACTGAGTCACACCACACAAAAACAAAAGTGTTAGACTTTATAAAAAACAGACTTTTCTAAAATTAGAATATGTGTAAAGGAGTCATTATCAGACTGTAGAAATTTAAATGGAGTCAAAGAGAAATGGGATTATTTAAACATTGCACTGTTGAAGGCAACAGAAAATTGAACTAGGCTTGTCAGTAAAAGCAAAAAATTCAAGAAACCACTGTGGTAGTCAGAGGTGGCCAAAATAGTAAAAAACTAAAAGTTAGCATTTAGTAATTATAAAAAACCCCAGAGTGAGGAAGACAGAATGATCTATAAGATTAGGCAGAAAGAGGCGAAGCAAGTTATAAGAGCTTCCAAATCACACAAAGAAGAGAAAATAGCACAGTCAGTAAAAAAAGGGGACAAAACATTTTTAGATACATAAATTAGAGAAGGAAAGTAAAACAAGGATTAGTTTTTGTTCAGTATTTGCAGATGAAAATGAAGGAAAGGGGCCTCAGTTAGGAAAAAGGACAAATTAGTAATTTGTTACATTTGAGTTTACAGAGGAAGAGGTTCTATTTCAACTGTCAAAAGTAAAGACAAATAAGCCAATGGGCAATAAAAGTAGAAAAGTGAATGGCGCTTACACAATAAAAGGAACACACAGGTAGTGGTGGAATGAAAAGTGTTCCCCTACACCTTAAATACAAAATGTAGGATAAAAGATATATTGACACTAAATATATAAATGCCAAAAAAGATCCACACACCACTCTTTTAGTCCCAAACTGTGAGTGTGTACAATACTTGTAAATAAAAAGGTATACGCTGGTGGCATTCCATGTACTTGAACCCTAGAATAACACAAAGCAGTACATAGCGTAGACTGTATATAGTAATAATAATGATACAAGGAATAAATGAATACACTCATGAATTCCAGAGCCGTGCCAGGCTCTGTGTAAAATGCCCCAGGGTGCCTATACAGGCTAGTTGTGGAATCTTCACAAAATCCCTCAGAGGTAGGAGAAGCAGCAGGATGATGTAAAAATAAATACATTTATTTGTAATAAAAATATATAAAAAACAACTAAACAGGTTGTTTGAGAAAGTGCAAAAGTAATGTGGTAAATGCAAACGCTATGTACTGCTTTGTGTTATTCTAGGGTTCAAGTACATGGAATACCACCAGAGTATACCTTTTTATTTACAAGTATTTTATTAACCAATCATTGTTAACAGGAGTAGTCCCAGAAGATTGGAAGTTAGCGAATGTTGTGCCCATTCACAAGAAAGGCAGTAGGGGGGAGTCGGGCAACTATAGGCCAGTAAGCCTTACTTCAGTAGTGGGGAAAGTCTTGGAAACCATGTTAAAGGATAGGATTGTTGAACATCTAAAAACACATGGATTTCAAGATCAGAGACAATGTGGGTTTATTTCAGGGAGATGATGCCAAACTAATCGTATTGATTTTTTGATTGTGTAACTAAAATAATAGATCAGGGTGGTGCAGTAAACATTGCTTACCTAGATTTCAGTACGGCCTTTGACACTGTTGCACATAGAAGGCTTACCAATAAACTTCAATCTTTAAGTTTGGATTCCAATATTGTTGAATGGGTAAAGGCAGTGGCTGAGTGTAACGGATCACCTGGCACCCCGACTGGGTACCTCCGTTGAAGGATGCTCCTAGCGCTTCCTGAAGACTCTAAACACTGCAGCAAACACCATAACCACCGTAGACTCCTCCAGAGAGCAAGACAGGAACAAGCTCTTACAAGAGCTAAGCAGTGAATATAGCAAGAGAGTATGCAGAGCATAGCAATCCCTTGTAGCAGATTCCCCCAATAAGAGACGGCACTCCAAATTGAGGGTGAAGTAAAACTGACTGTACTAGCACATACAGCCTCTTTTATTCACAATCCACAAACTTAGTACTGCCCACAGGGTTTTACAGAGCAACCAATAACACACGTACATTACAGAAAACACTCCCAGCAATTATACACAAAATCCTCCTCTCTGCCTGTGATCTAATTATGGTACACAATGGGTTAACATAATTACCACAAGCAGGAAAAATACAGTTTTTATATATGTACTATAACTTTAAAAATATACATCCAATCTTCATAAAATTAATCAGCACATTTCAAATATAAACATACCCAAAAATCATTTGAATCCGTTCAGCCGTTCGGGAGATAGATATAAGTCAAGTTTGACCGACCGCAAGCACATTTTCATGCCCAAAACAGTTCCAGAGAATCAGGCTGTGCAGTCAGTGTATTTCCCATGTTAAAGTCGGTTCAAACAGACAAACGACAACCATTCGAATTGTCGAACTGTTGAATGAACTGTCGAATGCATTGAAGTCTGGAGAAGGTAAAACTTCAGCTGAATTAAAGATGGCAGTTGCCACGTATTTGTTTGTCGAATGGCGGCTACTTTAACTACTTCGGCACTTTGGCTGCATCCAAAGTGCCAATTTAAAGCTGCAGAACTGCTCCAAGACAATTTAAAGGGGCAGCAAGTCTTTTAAAATCCAATCTGCTAAAATAGTCTTTAACAGGCAATATCTTCCAAGGGCCATAGTCTTAAAGGGGCATTGTTCCCAAAAGTCACAGTATGTCCCCAGATGGTTCTTAAAGGGCCAGCAGCAGCATAATAAAATACAATATGCCCAAATACTGTATTAAAAGGGCCAAATCTCCCAGGGACCATAGTCAGCAGGCAGAAGGCGGGCAAACAGGCTTCTCCAATGCCCAGTGGCAAGGTTGGTTTCGCCACACTGAGTGACAAGCAACAGATTGCTTGTCACCAGTGGGGTACCTCAGGGATCTGGACCCATTCTCTTTAATATTTTTATTAGTGATATTGCAGAAGGTCTTGATGGTAAAGGTATGTCTTTTTGCTGTTGATACTAGATATATAACAGGGTTGATGTTCCAGGAGGGATAAGCCAAATGGCAAATGATTTAGATAAACTAGAAAAATGGTCAGAGTTGTGGCAACTGACATTTAATGTCTTGGACATAAAAAACAAATACAGAATATTTTATAGAGTCCTAACCTCAACATCTGGAAAGGGATTTAGAGGTGATTATTTCTGATGCCTTAAAGGTAGGCAGACAATGTAATAGAGCAGCAGGAAATGCTAGCATAGGGAGAGGTATTAGCATTAGAAAGAGGGAGGTGCTCATGCCATTGTACAGAACACTGGTGACACCTCACTTGGAGTATTGTACGCAGTACTGGAGGCCGTATCTCCAGAAAGATATTGATACTTTAGAGAGAGTTCAGAGAAGGGCTACTAAATTGGTTCATGGATTGCAGGATAAAACTTACAAGGAAAGGTTAAAGGAACTTAACATGTATAGCTTGGAGGAAAGATGAAACAGAGGAATATGATAGAAACAACAAAATACCTAAAGGGAATCAACACAGTAAAGGAGGAGACTATATTTAAAAGAAGAAAAACTACCACAACAAGAGTATGTAGTCTTAAATTAGAGGGGCAAATGTTTAAAAATAATATCAGGAAGTATTACTTTACTAAGAGGGTAGTAGATGCATGGAATAGCTTTCCAGCTGAAGTGGTAGAGGTTGACAGAGTAAAGGAGTTTAAGCATGTGTGGGATATGCATAAGACTGACTATAAGATAAGGCCAGGGAATATTGAAAGTATTTTAAAAATTGGCAGACTAGATGGGCCAAATGGTTCTTATCTGCCATCACATTCTGTGTTTCTATACTCCATGGAAACTCGGCCACTGATGCTCAAGAGGCAGAACGGCTCTCGTGGAGAGCTAACAGACCTTCAGGTACTGTAACCCCTAGCCAAGACTATCCGTCTGGTGATAGCTTATATAGAGGCATGAAGATGTCTCCTGGTGCATTAGTTAAGATCT